GTTGTATCAGCTTGTTCTGGAAGGCTATATAATGTATGAATTATGTAACCATGTAAATTCAAAGCTCGGGCTTATGGCACATGAAAGCCTGCTTGGCAAGTCCTGAGTAGAGAGATAGCATGAATCTTTGACAATATTATATAAAGGAAAATCACTAGCAAAACCAGATACCAGCAGTAAACCAGACGAGGACCAGGTGTTTGGCAAACACTAATACTAACCAGGTTGCCAGACTAGCTAGAAGAAAAAGAATTCATTCAGAATACCAGGAGATGCTCACTGGTCCCTTCTAGGCTATCTGAATTGGGAGTTTGGGAGCTGTTGGTAACTTGGGAAAGTTAGTGATGGTCTGTAAAGTGGATACTAGGGTTTAGGTGAATTCTACAAGGGCAGAAGTAGGTAATAATAGCGGCTTTAGCTTGCAAGTACTTGTTCTCAGACTCAGCATAAGTTACTAAAACCTAGGTTAGCCAGATTGTGGATAGAGAGGGCTGTTACTACGCCTACCTGTAAAGATCTATAAGCAACCAATGAGGTAATCAAGTCTAGATAAGATAATAAGAAGCATTTCAGTATAAAGATATTTAGCTTAGAATAATTGGTAGGTATATATAACTAGGATTCCTCTGTTATAATACTAAAAATATAGACTCATATAGTTAACGATAAACATCAATAAAGCTTAGTTCTGAAAGACACCTTATAAAAAAAAAAAAAAAAAAAGTATATAATTAATAGAGTTTGCTAAAGCAATTACTAAAAGTATGGTCACATTATTTGAATTATCGCTACAGCTATATCTTAATAATTATCAGTATATTTTTTTATTACATATTTTAAGAAACTTTTACAGCAATAAGCTGCATACAGAACTATATAGTTCAACAATTTTCTATGTAAGAAATTATGCAATGATTGTGGCATCTTATTATGTACCCATACTTTTGGTGGTTGCTTTGGCGAATTCTATGTAATAAATAAAAAAATTATATATAATAAACTTATAATATATACCATATATAGCTATAGACAGGTAGACATCACCTACTTATGATTCAATTTACAATTTTATTATTATTACTCCTAAACGCAAAGAATATATTATTAAATTAAAATAATATAGCAAGGTTAATCAAATGGGTAAATTTATAGCTCACGTAATTTTAAATTTTATTGAAAAACTTGGTATTAAAAAATTCACTACAGTTATAACAGACTCAGGTTCAAATCTTTGTGTAGCTTGTTGAATTATTCATGAAACCTATTCTTCAATATTAAGTCTTAGATATGCTGCTTATACAACAAATTTACTTGTGTCTGATTTTATTAAACAAGATTCTATCAAAAATATTATTGTAAAATGTAGTTCAATTTTAAATTTTCTTCATAATTTTCATATTGTATATAAATACTATTCAGAACAACTTCATGCTATAAAAATTAAAGGTAAAGAAATTAAATCATATATTAAAACCTATTAGAGAACACTTTTTACTACAGTGGATTCAATCGTTTGATTATAGCCAGTTTTTGATTGGGTAACTAAATTATCTTATTAATATAATATATACATATGTATTTATATAATTAATATAATAGAATTATTTTATAGATTTTAGAAAATCATGCATTAGCGATATCTAATATCACAGTATTTAATCTTCTTCAATATGAAGATTTTTATATCAAGTGTCATCAAATTTCTACTGTTTTAAAACCTATAAAAGAGCTAACAAATTGTTTAGAAACTAAAATGGCCAATTTAGCAGATATTTTTATTGGCTTAATTAAATTAGCAGCAAGCATTAGCTGAGTTGAAAGCTCTAATATATGGAAAAAGGAAATTATTATTAATTTTAATCAACGATTTTATGAAATTGTAAATTTGGTTTTTATTCTTGCATATTGACTGCATCCTTTATATAAAGGTAATATATATACATATATTATATGTATACGTAAGAGAAGGTTGCGTATTCTGGTGGGATATTTTGGTGCACTTACATTTTTTATAATATCTTGTGATACACTGATATATTTTAGTACTATTTGATTCATTTTACCAAGACAAATCGAATAATAAAAAATTAATCAATTCCTATCATGACTTGAAAAAAGGTTAGACATTATTGTATAATTCTTATATTATTTTTTTCTTTTTTCTATCTGGGCCAATTCGAGAAACAAGATCAGCAAAGTACAATCTAAAAAAATCATCTGTATATACTTAACACAATACTGAATATCAATATACATAGTGTGCCAAAATACCACCAGTTAAGAAAAAATATACCAGTTTTTAGATATCTTTTAGAAGTTGACTATTGAGTTTTTTAAAAATTTTTTTGGTTAATCAATAGACATTAGGTCAAATTTTAGTTATTTCAATAAATTTTAGAAATTATATATTTTCATAAGAACTTTTACTATTAGCACTCCTTCTCTATATATGATAAGTGTATAAATAAAAATCTGCACTAATATATATATAATTATTATGTAATAATTTCAAATCGTGGTTTAAAAAAGGCTGCATTAGACAAAATTTATGAAACTGCAGCATTAATTTGGAGCGATTTGCAGTATTCAGAAGCATCGTGTCATCAATTATTAACAGAAATGCGAATGTTGAAAAGAAAGGCTAAACTTTACAACCTTTTATATAATTCTGCTTGTGAAACTCCAATTAAATGATGGCTTAGTATAAACATTGATGATGATCAGGATCAGCTTTTACAATTAGCACTACGTTTATTTTCTATTGTTCCTTCACAGTCTTCTTGCGAAAGAAATTTTTCGATATTTAAATAGTTTTATAGTAACAAACAAACCTGACTTTGTCTTTCTTAGGTAGAAGATATAGCAAAAATACGTTCTTATTATCTTTTAAATTTTGATAAAAAACTTCAACTTTATAGAAAAGATTTAGGAGAGGAGAAGTTATATGAAAATATTAATATATCAATAGTTGTATTTGATTTATTTGAAATGTTTGATGAAAATATTAATGTTAATAATTTAGATAATATTAATGAAAACATAAATTTAGAAATTTCTCATTCAATATTAAATATTGCAGACTTGGTGAATTTAATATTGCCAGAATTTTTAGGAGCCGGTGATGCAATATTTTCTTCAGAACCTGTTTTGTCTAATCAGTCTAGAGATATAGGTAATATGAATTATAATCCTATTCAGTTAGCACATCAAATGGTATCAAAGAATAGTGTTGAGGATTAAAATTTATTCAATAAGAATTATGTATATAATAGTTTTTTTTTGGTTTATATATATATATATATATCAATATAGCAATAAATACAACAGAGTCAAATAATTATCTAGTTGATTCAATCTTCTTTAAAATTTTATAATAGCAGGCAATTTGTAAGAATATATTCTTAATAGGTTATATAAATTCACTAGGAGTATGAATCATATGATCTTTAAAATCTATTATTTTTTGTCACTGTGTAGACTATATGCAGCACACAAAAACAAAATTTTGCATATATTTGTTTTTTAAGTAGATATGCAGATGTCGTATAATAAATTTTAATTAAAAAACATTTTTGATTTTCTATATCTATTTAAGTTTTATCAAACTATATATAATAAAATTCGGTAAAACCTTTTTTGATATATATACCAATAACTTATAAGTTTACAAAGGCAAGCAGGTGAATAAAAAATAAAAGAAACATTTAAAATCTGTTTAAATCTGGCAACAAATTTTTATTACATGCTCAGAGTATTCTATTCATAGCGATTTGGTCATTAAATAAATTAAATTTAACTCTATTTAAACTTGACAATTTAAATATACTTGAACCATTTATTTATCTAATAAAATTTAAAATTTACTTAATTCTAATATCATAAAAATAGATGGCTAGAAATAAGGATATTAATGATTGTGTGAAGGACTCAAAACTGTTTATATAATTGAATGTATTTAATTTAAAAGATTAAGTAATATTATTTTCAAGAAAACTCTCAGTTCGGAAGAAGTAAGTTGAAACATCATTATTTATTTGCAATAGATTATTGTGCAATTTGTTAAATGTTTATTAAACTAATCATTATATAAATTGTACTATTTGACAGTATGAATTTTATACTAGCTAATAGTATATGGATTGATACAAAAATTTTAAAACAAATACTTGGTGGTACTGTATAGCATAGTTTTAAATACCCACAATTTAATCTGTATATATGGGTATTATAGTTGGAGTGATACTATGTTCAGCATGAAAGATATATGTTGCACTCTATGAGTACTTCAGTAATATTTTATATACTAAGTGCAATAATCCATCTTTAGTACCTGGGTACTTTATATTCCTAAGTGCAATTAATCCATCCTTAGTACCCAGGGTACTTTACATTTTAGGCTTCTGAAAATTGTGAAGGTATTATAAAAAGGTCTTTTAGACTATGCTATATGGTATTTTATTTCGATTCTTGATGTTTTTATAAGTTCTTTAAGAATACTAATTAAATATTTATATTTCTGACTATATATTTGTGCTATCTTTTCATACTCATGTTTTGCAAGATCAATACACCAGTAAAAATGCAATCTTACATCTCAATTCCAGAATTGTTTAATGTTTTAAAAGTGATATTTATGGAGCAGGTTGCTCTAAAGTTTATGAATGGTTGCAAAAGTATAAGTTAATACAATGTATATTGCTAGTAAAGTATAAATAGACAAATAGTGTAATTATGGAATTATTAATTAACAAAGTAATTTAAATTTTGCTTTTATAATAAAAAGCATAAAATGAGTGCCGCAAATAAAAAAAAACCCAGAATTCTGAGATGAAAACTCTGTTTTTTCTTTTTAACGAACCTGAATTAAGGTATTAAGCAAAGTCTAAACTCTTTATCATAAAAGCTAAATTAAAGATACCCAAGTTAATATATGCATTGCACAAATAGAGCTAAACTTTAATATTTATTGAAATCAAATTAAAATACATATTGACATTGCACTAAATTATAGCCTCAAATATATATATGTTGTAGGTAGTTACAGAATATTTGTAGATTCAGAATCAACTTAAGTTGATTCCGAATCTACTTAAGTAGACATGGAATCTCAAAATGACTTAAGTGGGGATTGAATATTTAAAGCAAACAAGCGAAGCAAATTTTATTATATAATTTTATTGATAAAATAAGCTTATTACTATTTATCACATAAATACATATTGTTACGTACATATTATCTATGTATGCTTAATGCATATTTCTAAAACTTATTCTCTATTAATGCATTTAATATTATGCGGATGACATCCACTTCCGCACACTAAATTAGAACGTTTACATTTACATGAGTTAGTTTTACATTCACCTTTACAATTGCATTTCGTCCCAGTCACAGTAGATGTAGATTGCATTCTTGCAGCTTCACGTATGCCAATAGTTTTTTCTTGACAAACTTCAAGTTCTTCATATATGGCTAATCCAAGTGGCATAATTTCATTTGCACAATATGTAGAATCGAGAATACCATTTTTGCATTGTAATCGGTATGTCTGATTAGGTAATTCTTCGATTATTTTGCAAGGCAAAGTATACTGATCAATACTATTATGATTTATTTTAGGAACCATAAGGCATACATAATCATTAATAGAGTATTCACATGGATTTTTATTTTTTTTCAACATTTGGTCTTTCATTCGGTTTCGATATTCACTAAGTGATTTATTAGCATATTCACAGGATAATTGATGGTTTGATTGTATATTCTGAATATTTCGTAATGGTAGTTGTGGCTATTATATAACATAATAAATTTATTTATACATAATTTATATTAAATAAAATAATTATCTCTTTGCCTATAAGGCAAATAAATTTCTACGTAGTATATAAAAATTATTGACAAAGAGATATACTAATATGTATAAAATATATATTTATACATTATTTTCCTGATGTGATTCGAGTTGATTTAAAATTAAAGATTAATTTGATGTTGAAGATTCAGATTGACTTGATGCCGAAGATTCAGATTGACTTGATGTCAAAGATTTAGGTTGATTTGAGATTGAAGATTCAAATTAACTTGACATCAAAGATTCAGATTGACTTGACATTGAAGGTTCAGGTTGAATTGATATCAGCAATTCAGGTTGATTCAATATTGATGATTCAAAATTATTTTCAGAATTATCTAAAACTTCATTGTCAGAATTATCAGAAGTTTCAATAAAATTATCAGATAATGTTTCTTCGTCAATAATCTCTCCTTGTAAATTTTCAAGTAATGAAAAATGTTGCACAGGTTCTTGTCCAAATACAAGTGCATATGGTGATTTACCCATTGCACAACATGTTTGTACATTCATTGCATCTAATATAAATTATATATAGTATAATTAAAAAAACATTATTTAAGAATAATTATTATATTTATATATGCTTACATACGTATAATTAATCGCAATCCTTCAGTCCAGTCATTTGTTTTATTATCTTCCATCCACTTGCCAAGCTTGATCTGTAAAATTCCATTAGCTCTTTTGACCATTCCTTGAGACTGTGGATGCCTTAGGCATCCATTTATAATTTGTACACCAGACCAAAGAGCCATTAATTCATGAATAATTTCAGCAGTGAATTCTTTGCCATTATCTGATTATAAGATAATGGGTGCACCAAATACAATAAATACATTATAAAGAAATACTGCCACTTCAACGACATGTTTGCTTGTAAGGCATTGGGCTCAGGAAAATCTGGTATAGTGATCACGAGTATAACAAACATACTTATATTCACCTATAGGCTAAAATGTTAGCCTAATTAAATCAACTTGAACATGAGAAAGAAATTTTGTTGCCACAATTGGTTTAGCTGCAAGAGCTTTAGGGAATAATCGATGTGTAGCACATGTTTTGCATAAACCACAAAATTCTTTAATAAATGATTGAGGAATATAATCATATTGGCTTCTAATCTAAAAATCCATACATATACTGTATTAGTACTTAATATACAATTAATATATATCTAATAAAATGCAAGGCTAATTCTTACAACATCCCACATTTTGGACGCTCCAACATGTTTTAAAATACCCATATGAACTTTACACAATATTTTATAAAGATGATTAAAAGGGCATATAGTACGTATTGTATCCAATCCATTTTCATTTTTTGTAATCGTAGTTATTTGAGTATTTGGATTAGTTTCTGTTCCCAATTCTTGAAGCTTAAAA